TGCATCTAAATTGAGTATGTCTCTAAGGGACCATGCAGTCTCTCCACAACCGTGCAAAACCAGCTGCTAGAGCCCCATGGGAGTTTGTCCACAAAGGGAAGGGTCACAGCTGCGACTTTGAGAGCCCCAGTTGGGATCTGGCTCTGCCGGTTAGAATCATGGAATGGTTTAGGTTGGAAGGCACCTTGAAGATCACCTAGTCCCAACCCCCCTGCCATGGGCAGGGACACCTCCCACCAGACCAGGTTGCTCCAAGCCCCGTCCAACCTGGCCTTGAACACCTCCAGGGATGGGGCAGCCACAGCTTCTCCGGGCAACCTGCGCCAGGGGCTCACCACCCTCACAGTGAAACATTCCTTCCTGATATCTAATCTAAATCTCCCCTCCTCCAGTTTGAAGCCATTCCCCCTCATCCCATCACTACATGCCCTTGTAAAAAGGCCCTCTCCAGCCTCCTTGTAGGCACCCTTCAGACACTGGAAGGGGCTATAAGATCTCCCCATAGCCTTCTCTTCTCCAGGCTGAACAACCCCAACTCGCTCAACCTGTCCTCATGGGAGAGGTGCTCCAGCCCTTGGATCATCCTCACGGCCCTCCTCTGGACCCGCTCCAGCTCTACCTGCAAGCTCTCAGGCAGCCGGTCCCAGGGAGCCCCAGGACAGCTTTGTTCCCTCAGTGGTGAAAAGGGCTCTGGGTGCTGCCCCTGGGCACGGGGCAGTGCTTATGGGCAGGGCTGTGCTGGTTTGGTGCACTGTGCACGTAGGGTGAGTGCCGAGCCCAAGAGCAGCTTGCCCTCCCCCTGCCTAGTGGTACTGTGATAAATCTGACAGGAGAGGCATTGGGGGAGCAATGGTGAGGGAGCGAGCACCGCAGCAGGCGGGGTTTGTCGGGGCCGCTAACCTGGCAGGCTGTGAATCAGCTACCGCGTTTGCTTTTATTGTTGATGGCCGGGATGGGAAATGCAATTGAGACACCTTAATGAAAAGCTAACAAAGTTGGGTTCGGAGGGAGGGCTGGCGTTCTGGTAGCCTTGCTTCTCGTTAGAGAATAGTATGAATGATTGGTCTGGGAATATTCCTCGCGCCGCACCGGCAGCAGTATGCTGACCATGGGCCGGGACCCCGTGCAAACGCAGAGTAAGAGGGTCTCTGGGGACCACGCTGTTTATTTTGGATTGTGCAAATAAAGAAATGCTGTTAATTTTATAGCAGCTTCTTCTCAGAAGATATTTGGCATGCCAGGCTCTGATTGTGTGTGTGTGTAACCAGCACGGTGCAGCCAAGCATTTTCTAGCCCTCCCTAATTTCTGAGTCGTGTTAATAAGGCTCATAGTGAAGTGGTTCAAGTAGGAAAGCCTGTGAGGGTGCGTGAATCTTGCTTGATGGCTGCACCCCAAAATGCCAGAGAAATGTCCAACATGGAGCTGGGGATGCTACTGCCGCATGAAGAAGGCTTGTGGCATATGGCCAAGGCTGTTGGGTATTTCTTCCAAAGCCTTCCTTCACCCATCTGAACTCTCCAGAAAAGTTCCACGTTCCTTATCTCCTGCCGTCTGAGGGAAGAATGGTTTTTGTACATGGAGAGCTGGATGGGAAGGCCGGAAAGATGGATTGCTCAGATGCAAGCCTCTAGGCCTTTTTTCCTCCTGTTTAATGTAATACAGGACTTGATCTAAAAAAAAAAAAAAAAAAAAAAAGCCAAAACCAACAAACCAAAACCAACTTATATTAGAATGTCTGAAAGGGAAGAACATGGCAAATAAAGTTCAAGTGACTTATTAATCTGATTTAGTGGTTGTCTTTTTTCTGGCTGAGACTTCCAGTGCTCGAATCCTTTTAAGACTGTAGAGTTGGTCCAAAGTGTGATGGGACTCTCCTATTCTTTATGACCTAAATCAGTGACCCAAAGCGTAATATTTTCTCTAGAACCATCTGTTTCCTCTTCTTGCCAAGGGGATTTCACAATGCCTGGTTGCTCTGAATAATTGTACATGTGCAAGGATATGACTTGCCACAGGGAGAAAATTAACTGAATAAGGGCAGGTGGACGCTCTTGAGTTTTCTGTTGAAACTACTACCCTTTAGAAAGAGAGGGTGAAGAAGCATGCAGCTGAGTAATATTTTGTGCCCACACTAAATTTTTTTTAAGCCTACATATTTCTTTAAAAAAACCCAAAACTACAATTAGGAGCTATCTGGGATAAGCTGAGCAGATACCAAGTCAGCCTGTGTTTTGACAGCCCCTTTATCAAACGTCTCGGAGATCTGGTTTGGAGCAGTGTGAAACACAGGACTACAGATGTTGGGTGACTAATTCATGCTTCGGCTAAACTTCAATGACCATGAACGCACATCTGTTTCGACTTAGCTATCCACCAAATGGCCTGCAACAAGGTACTTTGCATTACAAACATCATGTTTTCAATTTTTTACTTCAGATTTGTGAGCGGTGGCTACAGCCTGCGCTCTGGGAAGCAGAAGGTACCCAGGGATTGTGACCAGGGGAGCAATGTTCAGGGCTTCTGACTCTGGCAGTAAGAGCTTTTTGTAGCATTAGCAGGATTCCCAAGGCAAACAACTCCTTTCTTTTAAATCTGTCTTCATACAAGAGACTTGCTTTTTCTTGTTCACCTTATCTGCGCTTATCACCCAGCTCTCTGACTTACTCACTTCCTGCTCTGTGTATCTTTTTCTTTTCTTAATTAGAAAATTGGGAGGAGGGAGGGGAGGCAGACCAACAGTTCCTGGCGAGGAAATGCCATTTGTATAAAACTGCCTTGATAAATTCTCAGTAGTATTCCTCCAGCCCAATAATCCTACTACAGCATCCTTAAATAAAAGCAAAAGGAGGAGAGGGCTTTGATCCATCATTACAATGTCTCTTTGTGAAGTTGATCCCATAACATGGGCGTGGGATGGTACCCATTGCTTTCTCTGGCCAGTTCTTCACCTGCGCGCAGCCCTGTCCCTGCATAACATGCCCTAATCACCCTAAAGAGGGGTGATTTCTGTGTCACAGGGGGCAAGGAGACGGGTGGTGGTGACCAGGTGGTTGGTGTGGTGTGTTCCTCTTTTGAAGGGTCAACGCTTCTCCCTAGGAACGCCTGCCTGGCTGTACTTTTGCGGCCAGCAACACAGCACGCATGGCTGGAGAGCCAGTCTGGTCTCCGTCTGTGCTGTGGAACAAGCCCTTTTTCAGGAGGAAGACGGAAGGTGTGCTTTAGCCATCCCACTTGGGTCACGCTGGCCATGAGCGGGCCCCAGGTGAGAGCTGGGATGCTGTGGCTGCATGCAGCCTTTAGCGTGGATGGGTCAGTCTGCGTCTCCCAGTGCATCCAGCTGGGCAGCTGTGTTTGGTGGAGACCGGGCAGATGGCAAATGGTAGAGTGAGACCTGCCAGGCGTTGCGGAGGCTGGGCTTTGGCAGGCACTGACCGATCTCCTGCTTGTGTCCCATCTCTGATACAGGCCTGGGAATACCACCCTTCTCTTAGAATCAGAGAATCATGGAATCATAGGATGGTTTAGGTGGGAAAGGACCTTAAAGCTCATCCAGTTCCAACCCCCCTGCACTGGGTAGGGACACCTCCCACCAGCCCAGGTTGCTCCAAGCCCCGTCCAACCTGGCCTTGAACACCTCCAGGCATGGGTCCTCCACAGCTTCCCTGGGCAATTTGTTCCAGTAGTTGAAATCCTTCATAGCTGGGCTCTTTTTTTTTTTTCTTTTTCCCTTTCTGGGTGGTACTGTTTTTATGAGCAAAACCAGTTCAGCCTTTTGTATTCTTCAGCAAGGTAAAGGTATTGATGTACTCATTTTCCTCTCTTCATAGAAATGTTTTTAAGTACCGTGTGATTAAATTAACTTGTAATGGAGAAGCATAGTATGGCAAAGGCTCTTCTTGAGGAGAAAATACAGCTTTAATAACTAGGAATCTGGCTTTTATTGGCTGGTAAAATTAAGAACGTAACACTGAGCATGCTCAGGTTTTCGCACTAAGCATCTCTGTGTACTTAAAGGCATCTGTTCTGTTGGTTTATGCACTGTTAACTAACTGCAAACCTCTTTAACAGCTCCTCTCCACTGCTGGAAAATCCTGAGGCAGGACAAGGGCAAGTACTGCTGTCATGCCTGATGACTGATGTTGTAAATGGAGTGAGAAAGGCCCTTGAAGGGGAAGCCGTCAAAGCTGACCTAGTGGGAAGGGAGCGCAGGGACAGGTTTCCTCTCGAAGCATGCCAAGAGAGCCAGGCTCGGATGCATATGGGGCTCTTTCCAGTTTCATGAAGGTGCAAAGTGATGCGCCGTGGAGGGAATGGCTCCAAAATCATTAATTAAAGACTGCCCTTCTGGTGCACCTTATGACCAAGTTGCTGTTAAGAATAAGGTTTTGCCAGGGCTTGAGCTCACTTCGTGCAGCTTTCAGATGGGGAGTAGATGCTTGGGAGGACTTTCAGCAAGAAAAGGCTGTGAAATACATAGTTTACAGTGATTAAAAATGGCAAGTATAAAAATATTTTTCAAAAATGATCAGGGGACAGGAGATTTCCCTGTCCTCTCCTGCTTTCGCCCTGAACTCCCGTGAGTGAGTGCACTGTAATTTTGGAATGGGAAACACTTCTGCCAGCTGTAAGCAGAATGATGGGCTTTAACTAGAGGAGAAACAAGAAAGTGCAGTTGAACAAATAGGCTTTCTGCAAAGAGAAAGAAAGTGGCATTAAACATTATAGTAGCTAAAGGTAGGTGCTAACCCACTGGTAGCATCTGAATCCGTCCTCGTTCAGGTAACTGAACTACATGGAAAACTGCAGCAGTCATAACGCAAATGAGTTCATTAGATGGGTCATCTTGAGTAACAGGGTAACTTGATTATGTGTTTGGGAAAGATGGGAAATAAACAGGGTGTAGAGGAAAATCCATTATCTCTGGCTGGCCTCACTTAATGCATCTTCATTTTGTCTCTGCAGCTTGAGGACGTTTGGAACCTGTTCGGTGGAAGCGACCATGTCGCGAGCAACTCACCCACCCACCTTCCCAGTGAGCTTCCAACTCCTCGGCGTTGTGCTGGTGTTGCTCTTCCATGTAGACGGCATACATGCGGAGAGCCCCAGCGAGTTGCCTGTGAACGACACCGAGGAGTGCACTGGCTCATACATCTGCAAAAAGGGTGTGATTCTACCAATATGGGAACCCCAAGACCCCTCATTTGGTGACAAAATCGCTCGGGCAACAGTGTATTTTGTAGCCATGGTGTACATGTTCCTGGGAGTATCTATCATAGCTGACCGCTTCATGTCCTCCATCGAAGTCATTACATCCCAAGAGCGGGAAATAACCATCAAGAAGCCCAATGGCGAGACCAGCAAAACCACAGTGAGGATCTGGAATGAGACCGTTTCCAACCTCACACTGATGGCCTTGGGCTCATCTGCCCCTGAGATCCTCCTGTCTGTTATTGAAGTGTGTGGCCATGGCTTCACAGCAGGGGACTTGGGGCCAAGCACAATTGTGGGGAGTGCTGCGTTTAACATGTTTGTCATCATTGCGATCTGTGTTTACGTTGTTCCAGACGGAGAGATAAGGAAGATCAAGCACTTGCGAGTGTTTTTTGTTACAGCGGCCTGGAGCATCTTTGCCTACACTTGGCTTTACATTATTTTATCCGTATCTTCTCCTGGGATTGTGGAGGTTTGGGAGGGCTTGCTCACCTTCTTCTTCTTCCCCATCTGTGTGGTGTTTGCCTGGATAGCTGACAGGAGGCTTTTATTTTATAAGTACGTCTACAAGAAATACCGAGCTGGCAAGCAGAGAGGCATGATCATTGAGCACGAGGGTGACCGGCCCTCCTCCAAAGCTGATATCGAGATGGATGGCAAAGTTGCTAATTCTCATGTGGAGAACTTTTTGGATGGGACGTTGGTGTTGGAGGTGGATGAGAAAGACCAGGATGATGAGGAAGCCAGGAGGGAAATGGCTCGGATCCTGAAGGAGCTGAAACAAAAGCACCCCGACAAGGAAATTGAACAGCTTATAGAGTTGGCCAACTACCAGGTCCTGAGCCAGCAGCAGAAGAGCAGGGCCTTTTACCGCATTCAGGCCACTCGGCTCATGACGGGAGCAGGCAACATCTTGAAGAGACATGCTGCAGACCAGGCCCGCAAAGCTGTCAGCATGCATGAGGTCAACAGTGAGGTGGCAGAAAATGACCCCATCAGCAAGCTCTACTTTGAGCAGGGTACCTACCAGTGTCTGGAGAACTGTGGCACTGTCGCCCTGACCATCATTCGCCGGGGAGGGGACTTGACCAACACAGTGTACGTTGACTTCCGGACAGAGGATGGGACGGCTAATGCTGGCTCTGACTATGAGTTCACTGAAGGGACAGTGGTCTTCAAGCCTGGAGAGACCCAGAAGGAAATCCGTGTTGGCATAATCGACGATGACATATTTGAGGAGGATGAGAACTTCCTGGTCCATCTCAGCAACGTCCGCGTGAGCACTGATGCCTCAGATGAGGGCATTCTTGAGGCCAGTCGTGTCTCAACACTTGCTTGCCTGGGATCACCATCTACTGCCACCGTCACCATCTTTGACGATGACCATGCAGGCATCTTCACCTTTGAGGAGCCAGTAACGCATGTCAGTGAAAGTGTGGGGACCATGGAAGTCAAAGTGTTGCGAACCTCTGGTGCACGAGGAAATGTTATTGTGCCCTACAAAACCATTGAAGGCTCAGCCAAAGGTGGAGGAGAGGACTTTGAAGACACCTGCGGGGAGCTGGAATTCCAGAACGATGAGATAGTGTAAGTGAAGGTTTTATTTGTTACTTACAGCCTCTGGTTCTCCTGAAATTAAACGCACATGGCGCCCAGAGCCTGGACACTGGAGGTGGTTGGGTGCCAGCACGTTGCAGTAAGCCATGAATGGCCTTATGTGCTTTGGGGAGCCTGAAATACCGCGTTCCTGCCTTGCTAACGGTCCAGAGAGTGATGCCTGCTCAGGGGCACTCCACCCTTCCAGCAGCAGGGAGGTGGGACTGGTTTGTGAGCACAGCCTTCCGCACCCTACCCATGCGCTGAGCAGATCCCTGTAGCCTCGGCTCTACAGTGAACAGTTCTCTGCAGAGAACAAAACCGAGCTGGCTGTTACCGCTCGGTCGTAAGGACCTGTCTTGTGAAGGGCCTGAACTGAGTGTATGAATTGCGGTGCCTACTTCCCCTTGCCTGGTGAGGGTCGGGTCATCTGGGACTGGGCCACAGCCTGTTCCACTGTTCAGGGCTTTGGTGAAGGTCACTGCATCTCTTCCTCTTCAGAAGGCTGCAGGCCTGGGTCATTGTCCAATGCATGTCCTGAAAAAGTACTGTCATGCAGAGAAGCCTCATAGGTAGGATGCAACTGCAGTCACAGTTGCCTGCTTGCAAATAAAAGAGGCTGAAAGCTGTTGGAGGCTACTCCGGAGTGTTGCTAGGTGGATGGTGGAAAAATTATTAGTGCTGTAGCCTTGTTTATTACATTATGTGGAGAATATAAATTAGCCCAGTAAATCACGGTAGAAAACATCTGTCCTTGGGTATGTCACGGAGACATTTCCTTGCCTAGTTGGGGCTCAGGGAGGAGCAAAGGTTGGGAGTTGCGTTGTTCCAGTCTCAGGCTATTCCTACAGTGGAGGCTGTGTCTGTAGGTCAGTCCCTGCCAACAGTAGACTCTGTATCACAAAACCACTGTGTAGAACTTGGAGTAGTCACTGATGAAGGGCACTGATGTGTTACGGGAGAGCTAAATGTTGGCTTGGGTGTTGGGTATCATAAAACTGGTCTCTTAGGAGCTGAGACAGACCCATGATGAGTGCTGGGAGTGGGCCTTATGTTCTGTTACTTGTATCTGCTCTGTGTGCACAGGGACACTGTGCAAAGCAAATGGGGGAATCATAAAACTACTCTAAGTAGGGGGGAAAAAAAAGTCGTTTGTCGTTCTCAGGCAGGGTATTACACAAGTTAGCGTTTTGACTTCTCAGGAAAAACTGAGCAAGAACTTCTCATCTCTAGCAATCTGGAGGCCAGAACATGCATTTTGCTCACACAAGGGTCAAGAGCACACAATATGACATTGTTCCTGGCTCCTGAATGATAACTTTAGTAGAGAGGAGTGCAGTTATTTGATTATTTATTTATTTATTTTCATTTTGGGAGAAGCAGGGAGCTGTCTGCAGAGATGCAATGAACTAGGCTATAAGGATATCCCCTGAAGGCTCTTTACTTTTTATCCAGGTCACTCAGCACTAGCAAAACTGGGCTACTGGCAGGAAGACTTTGACGTTTGATCTCAGTTCCCCTGGGAAGTGACATGTTTACATGGCAGGCCAAACACACGGCTGCAGGCTCTACGACTGCACTCAGAGGGCCTCGGGCTTCCCCCGTGTCTTGGATCCATCACTCTGGCCAGGACCTCTGTGCTGTCCTCCATCAAAGATAGGTAGTGCCACCTGTGTCGGCACTGCCCGTTGGTGCTCGGTCTGTGATGTGGGGTTTTGCAGTGAAAGCGGTACTTTCTCCCCGGTGTTGCGCCGGCGCCCGCTTGCGCTGTGCCTCTGCTGGTGGCCTTTCCTCCACTGCTGACTTTTGCCAACAGCCCAGTAACCAAGGGGTGTGCTGGAAATGGGCTGACCGCATCCTGCCGGAGCTGCTGCTTGGCCTCCCCGGGGGCCATGCTGGTGTGCCCTCCCCACGGCGGCAAGCCTCCTCCTTCCTTTTCTTACTGGATCTCAGCATGTGCACAGAAAGCAAGAAACGGGGGAAAAGAGCTTTCTTAGAAACACAAGTGTGGGTTTTTTTTCTGTGCAGATGTCAGGGCATTGCTGTCCTGTCTCTATTGCCTTTAAACTATCTTTCCTGGGAATCACAGGGAGGGACAGGACATGGGAAGCACCACTTTAGGAGTTCGCAGCCCAGTACAGGTAGGGCCTGGGGAACGGGGTGGGAGGAGGTGGCCACTGCAGGGCCATATGTTGACCAGGGGGCTTGCTCCATTCAGGTGGGAGAGGACATGCACATACCCTATTTTTCTGGGAGAAAGATGAAACTGATTGTACAAATTGCAATCTACTCATGTGCCTGAATGGCAGCAGGTAGTCATCTAAAACTTAGCTGCTACAGTCCACATTCAGGTGTCGGATGATACCATATGACTTGCAGAAGATTTCCTGCAAGTCCGTGTTTGCCTGGGCACGACTTTAGGACAGCCCTGCAGCACAAAGGTGGTGTGGTCCTGAAGCTGAGGTGCTGCTTAGAGGCATCCTCCCTTGGAAGAATTTCCTCTAACGGGAATAGAGAAGATGTGCTAGCACAATATGTGGATTATAGAGCCTGTTCGCTGTGTCGTTGCTCATTCGTGCTGCGCTTCAGCTAAATCACAGCTGCGTAGAATGGTGCGATCCCCCAGCACGTTTGATTCAATAAAGTTCTAAAACTTCAGATTTTCCCATGGTCTGGTGGCTGAGAGGTGGCTTTGCTGCCCTTTCTAAAGGTTGTCAGTGCCTCTTCAGTTCTGCCATTCTAGGCTGTATCAATCAGCTTGATAAAATTGAGTACAGTGTGTTTTTCTGGGGAACGAACAACAAACATAGGGCAGTGCAGGGGGACACAAGGATGAAAGAAAACTGTATACAAGCCTCTATTTTTAGAGGGCTGGCTTGCTGGTAAGTCCCAGTAAAATTAGAAAGCACTGGGAGGGCCCTGATCTTCTGGAGAAGACCTTCCTCTGGTTCCCAAAAGGCCCAATTACGTAACATGTTGTTTGTTTGCAGTGTCCGGAGAGACTTTCCCATTTTGCAATCTGTTGATGTCCCCTTTCCCAGAGCACACAAAATAGCTGTGTAACTGCTGAAGCTATGCCACTCCTATGCATTTGATCAAACATCTCATTCCGATGCTACGAAAAGAGGTGTACAATGGACAAGATGTTGGTCCTCCTATGGAACATTTTATCCCAGCACTGCCTGGTAGCCTTGTGGAGTGATGCTTTTCTGCTCCTTGCTCCTGAAGCACAGCTTGTGTGTTCAATGAGTGCATGTTGACAAGTGAAAGAAACAGCATTTAAATGTATTTTGCAAAAGGGTTAGCTGGGTTTGCACAACAGATTGTCCCAAGCTGTGTGGGAAAGCTAAAGACGTCTGACTTGGGTCTCAGCAAGGTCAGTCTTAGTGATGCTGCATGGTTACCTGGGGCTCTGAGGCATCGGTGTAGGACAGGGTGCTGTGATTTAAATTGTAAGAGAGAGCCTTCCCTCTGGGACCATCCTCAACAGGGTGACTCCAGGTGCACCTCCATTAATGATTAAAGCTTTCTTGATAAGAATATGGAGAAGATGTGTAGTTGCAGGCTCTTCCTGCCCACCCATCTACCACAGCTACTGTGACCATAGAAGAGGTCACTGGTTCATCTAGCCACTGTATTTTTATCTCCTGACCGAATGCCGAATAATTCAAAGGAAGTCCAGCCTCCTATCTTAGAGGAGGAAGCAATCCTTCTCCCAAATGGTGGCATCTCTTCTCTTTGCTGTCTCAAAACATCAGGAGGGGCACCTCTTCCAGATGGGACTGCGAAGCTATATGAAAACTGTGTCTTCTTTCATGTTCAAAAAAATTGCAGTTTTTCTAGAGATAACACTGCGACTAGAGATCTATTGCAATCTGCATTCCAGATGTCTGCACCGACATCCCCCCCAAAGGAAAAGTTGTTACTGCATTAGTAAGTCAGTGAGGAAGGCGGTACACGCAATTGTATGAATAACCAACTAAATCGGTATTTCACCTATGCACCTACACCTGTAAATGCATGGAGAATCTTATGTCAATAGATCTTGCTGTCCGTAATATGTAGTTTAGCTGTTTTTATAAAAAGGCGTCTACTGCAGGTTTAGGAAGTGACACTCTTGGCCTATTGAATTTGACTTGTCCAAGCCAGCTTTGGCATTTCTCTGGCAGCATAAATCTGGGAGCCAAATGCTACAGTGACACAGACATCAGCTAAATCCTCTGATTTTTTAGGGAAACTGTCCCCAGAGACCACATAGCCTCCCTCCCAAGAGCCATTTAAAAATGTCAATGTCAATAAATACAGATTGTGGCAGGGGGGAACCAAGTGGTACTGCTTTTTTAAGTCTCCCTTTTCTTTTCCACAAGAAGTTGGGTGAGGTATTTCTAAAGAAATCTTGACTCAGCCCTGGGACCTCTCGAGCTCAGTTTTGCGTCTGTGGCCTGCAGCCTCAGGGGGGGAAAAAAAACCAACCCTCCAGCAGGGTCAGGCAGTTGGAGGTAGTTGAAGAGGAGAGAGTCTTCTGGTGTGGCGGAGAGACTGCTGTCAACCGGGCCGAAGGTGAAGCAAACATACATTCCCCTTTTTACCCTTCATCGTTGAACACACGATCTTTGCCCCTCCTGCTTTGTTTGCGTGGGTGAGTGCGCATCCCCTCCCTCTCCAGCCCTGGCTTGCGCAGAGTTAATGTCCAGAGGCATGGGGTGAGGTATCAAAATCAACCCCAAACAAAGATTAAACACTTACTTGGCCTGTTTCCAGCGCCCAGCTTGCGTTTTAGAGCGTGTTTTCCCCTCGACGCTGGCAGTCTCGCCTGGCCCAGCTGGACTTGCAGGCAGCTCAACTACGGCCACCAGGATCTAGGTCTTGGGTCCTTGGCAGGAGCACCTAGTGCCCTGGGTCCACCTTCTGGGAGGTAGCCCCGGCCATGGCCCACAGCAGGGAGCCGAGCACATCTGTCACACCAGGCTGGGGCACGGCATGGGGGCCTG